GTTGAAAGTTGATTGGGATTTGGATTAGGGAAAGGTTGTCGGTTTTGAGAAAACGTTTGATATTGTGTTTGGTATTGGAAATGTGGTGAAACAAAATTTTCTTGGTGATGAAATTGTGGTGGAACCATTAAATTTTGAGGTTGATAAATAATGTTGTACGTTGTGAGCACCATAAACTGGAGTTGAAGAACTTAGTTGATTACTACCCGCTACTGACCCAACTTCACTACTTCTAGGTTCAAAAACATACAATGTAACATCATCTTCTTGCGAAACACTAATGTAAGCAATGAATCATTCAACATCTTCATTGTCGGTTAACAAATAAACTTTACCTTTTCTCTGATAAGATAGCCTAAATCCACTTATGGGCTCTAAATTCAATTTCTTTGCAACACGTAACATTAGAGTTTCATAAGATAACTTTTTTAATGACAGTTTTAGTTGAAGATTCATGGGTAAAGGCATATATTGTAAAACACCATGAACATTCTCCCATGACCTTCCAAAACACAAATCTATACAAACATGATCAACATTGGATGATTTCATTCTACAAATTGTAAATTAATTTACTAAACAAACGAGCTATAAACTAGATATCATCATTTACTTAGAGAAAAACATACCTTTATTAAGTTGATAGTTGATAATTTGGGAGAGAAATAATTGAAAAATTATATAGAAATAAAATTATGTAAAAACAATTAGAGATGGGGAAGGAAGTCATTGGATATAGGAACAGATATCGTCGGAGAGAGTGATAGATGGAGATGGAATGAGTTGCGATTTAGGGATTTAGGTTATGAGTTGCTACTGCTGCGTAGTTTATATACCCAAAACATTTGTGTTGAGAAAATAAAAGTTGTTGCGAAATTAAAATTCATGTTGCGAATTCGAAAATCGAGTTGCGAAAACAAAATTCGTGTTGCGATTTAGAAAATCTTGTTTCGAAAAGGAAACTTGTGTTGCGAAAAAGAAATTCGCGTTGTGAATTCAGAAATCGAGTTGTGAATTTGAAATTCCGTGTTGCGAATTTGGAAATCGCGTTGCGAATTTGGAAAATTGGGTTGCGAGAAAGAAATTCGTGATGCGATTGAAGAAACTGAGTTGCGAATTTGGAAACTACATTGCGATTTCGAGATCGTGTTGCGAATTTGTTGGTCATTTTCGCAAATCAAAAATTTTTTGGTTAAAATCGTATATTATAAGGCATTTTCAGTCACTGAAGTTATTTTCTCTACTTCTGCAAATTGAAACTTGAATGAATTGCATTACTTCAATCAAAAGACAAAACAAAGACAAATACTAACTTCACAGGGTTAAAGACTAAACAGTTTAGCAGTATTGGCAGTAACCGAATGAATTTACTAAGCAATCTAAGTGAAATGGTTAATCTATATATTGAAATTACCAGTAAATTTATCATCAATTTAAATATGAAAAATCTAATAATAATACAAAAATTTCAAAATAAAAATAATTAAAAAAACTAACCCTCGGTGGTTGATTTTCCATTTGTGGCCGTGAATGGTTGTGAGGGTGGCTCTGAGAGATGGAGATAGAGGGGGTCACCGGATATGGGGATGGATTTTGTCGGAGATGGGGATGAATGTCGTCGTAGAGAGTGAGAGATGGAGATGAGACTGAGTTGTGATTTAGGGTTTTAGGTTATGAGTTGCGATTATACTATTTACATTTGTGTTACGAAATTAATATTATGTTTCGAATTCGAAAATAAACGCGTTTTACGAATTTGACTTCTGTGCTGCGAATTTGGAAAATTGCATTACGGGAAAGAAATTTGTGTTGCGAATTTCAAAACTGAGTTGCGAAATTGGAGTTCACGTTGCGAATTCGTGATCGCGTTGCGAATTTGTTGGTCATTTTCGCAAATTCAAAAAAAATTGGTTAAAATCGTATATTATAAGGTATTTTCGGTCACTGAAGTTATTTTCTCTTACAAATATATGCATTTAATAATAAAAAAACAAAAAACCCTAAGCTACTCCTAGCCGTCGATTTTTGTGGTGTAGGAGGGAAAAATTTTGACTTTGGTTTTTAAAAGGAGACAAAGCACTAAATGTTGGCCTAACTTTTTAGGTGGTGTGATGTCACTGATTCATGGCTAAAGGTACCAACAAATTCCAACCCTTGGATGAAAAGTAGATCCAATGGCCAAGATATTATCTTCTCCAATAAGACTCCAAGCTTCATTAACTTCCTATATATAAATTCTAATTATTTTTAATTTTCCTTTCTTTCTTTATTATGCATAATTATTAAATGTTAATGTTAATTTTAGAATCTTTTATTTTAATCACTTATGTTTAATTATATATATATATTATTCAAAGTGAGTGGTGGGAGAAAACTTTTTAAAAGAAAGATTTTTATATGAATTTTTTTTATTTTATTTGGGAATTTAGAGGGAAATTAAGAAATTTAGAGGGAAATTGAGAAATTTAGAGGGAATAGAAAATTTGGGAAGTTTGTGTCAAATATAGTGTCCAACAAGATATTTTGGGTTAATTAGGCTCATGCTTCTCCAACAATCATCATTTTTCACTTGTATTTGATTTTTAATTTCTTTCATTTTAGTCACTGTTTAATTGTAAATATCTTCTTAAATTTTTAATTCGATGCAATTTATAGAAATACTATGCATAAACTATATAAAGTAATAAAGTATATAGTTTATATAAACCTTAAACCTTAAATCATAAACCCTAAACCCTAAATCCTAAACCCTACTATATGTATAAACCATGTATAGTTTATATAAACTATATATATATATATATAAACTATATAAAGTAAATTACTTATATAGCTTATAGAAATACTATGCATAAACTATATAAAGTAATAAAGTATATAGTTTATAGAAACCTTAAACCCTAAATAGACTAATACATACATATATATACTATATTAATATAAATTATAACATATAAACTATATATTTATATAGTTTATACATATATAGTTTATATATATACTATATTATATAAATATTTTATAAACTATATACTTTTATAGTTTATATACTTTTTATAGTTTATACATATAGTTTATATACATAGTTTATATATAGTTCACATAAACATAATTTATATATAGCTTATATAATTATATAGTTATAATATAAATATAGTTTATAATTTTATATACATAGTTTATATATAGTTCACATAAATATAATTTATATATAGTTTATAATAATTTTATAGTTTATAATATAAATATAGTTTATATATAATTTTATATTATATATATATATATTATATTTTTCAATTTTTTAAATGAATGCAAGTTAGTATATTTTTCATTATTCTTCACATTTTGCATTTATTCGATTTGATCCTTTTGTATTTTTTAATTTATTTCAATTTTAAGTCTTTCACTTTTATATGTATTTAATTTAGTCCTTAAATTTATATTTACGTATTCCATTGTTAGTTGTTATTTATTTATATTTTTGTAATTGGCACATAATTTTTTAAATGTGTTTAATTTAGTCCTTTTTATATTAATTTAAACCTCACATTTTAAATTTATTTCGATTTAGTCCCTTACCTATGTGTGTTGTTTAATTTATATTTTAAGATTTTATTTGTAATTTTACATTTCTTCAATTTTGTCATTAAATTTATATTTTTTACAAAATTGATCCATGAATATTTTTTTTCTCTTAATTTACTCGAAATCATATACAATTACAACTTGCAATTCAACAATCACGAAAGATGACAAAATAATTAATCCAAGAAAATAAAAACGACCCGACCTGAACTCAATCCGTATCCGATAAACATCCGACCTGAACTTTATTTGTCAATGATGTGACCCGATCTGAACGAGATTCGACTGAAGTCCACCCAAACCTGAACTAACCTGGTCTTTATCTGCTTCGGACCTAAACTGTTTTTACCTGAACTGGCATCAATCCGAACTGAAAATGACCCGACCTGAACCCGATCTAGATCTGGCGTCAAATCAACCTGAAAATAACCCGAACTGATTTGACCTGACCTGAACCCGATCTGAATTTGATGTCAATCAACCTGAGTTGACCTGTATCCGATTTTACTTGACCTGTCAAGATCCGACTGAAACCTGTCCGAATACCTATTTTCCAGCCCTAACTAACAGGATATCACTTTTTCACAAACCGAAACTTGAAGGTTGGGAAAATCAAAATACAGTCTTATTTCTTAGTCTCCGCATTAGCAAACACTAGAATGAAACTTCTGCTCCAAATAAAGATTTTACCGTGGCTTCCTATTTCAAGTCTATCTCCAACCCATGCTCTAATTGCTCTACCCTGTCCCTAACCACAAACACCCCTTCACCCTCATCTCTTCTTCTTCTTCCACTCAAACGTTTCCTCAGCCTCAAGGAAAAGAAGGGGGGACTCAAAGACGAAGACCCTCCTGCTCTCTCCGCCTTTATACTTTTTTCATTCTTTAGATTATGAGTTTGAAGTTTCTTCCTTTGTTTCTTCTTAGTTTCCCGGGTTTTGAAAAAAAATTGCTTTTTATGTCCATGATTTGTTATGTTGGTCTAATGAAAAAAATTGCTTATCAGTAGACTCCTGATTTCATGAATTGATATTTTTGGTCAACGGTCATTGTCTTCTGCACGCACACAACTGCATCTTTTGGAACAACTAAGTTCCACGAGCTCTGCTGCCGATGCTATGCCAATCTTATCCCTAGATTGAAGAACAATACGATTTGCAAGATTGTTGATCTTTGTTTCTTATACGATCAGGATGGTAGGTCGGGGAATGTCACAATTGGCGGGCAGCTGCCTCGATTAGTTGGGGACAGAGACGATGATTTCAGTAATCCACTGGGCAAGAACTTGAACGAGGTTAGTCCAAAGTTTTTAACAATCTCACAGAAGAGATTTGGCATACTTGAATGAAGTTTCTCAGAGGAATGATTCGGTTTCTTTGCAACAATAGGAGCATTCCTACTTTTTAATACTAGGGATTGCTATATTAACAGGTTATGTCCAGCTTTTCCTTGGTACATACATTCTCAGAAATGAATAGAAATACCCAAGTTAAACTTTGGGACATGAACTTGATCAACATGTCAATGAAACAAAACCGAACCCCAGAAAAACAAAGGAAAGAAAAATCTCATCCGTTAGTAGTGAAATTCACTTTCTAGAATTTTTCTTTTTAACAATGCTCACTTGCTGATTCCTTTTGTTTCATCTTATCGGTAGACGAAATGTGTTCTTCAGTAGGTCTAACTGGTTCATTGCCCGAAATCACACCGTGCTTATGTATATGCACCCATTTGTCTTGAAACAAGTAAATGAAAACGATCACAGAGATCTCAACTGTAAAAGCTATTCCCCAAAACTTCGTTCTTCTCGATGTCTTTTCATGATATGCTCCCAGTCCAGTGTATATGCTGATCACACCCAAAATACACACAGCAGTTCCTACCAACCAGTGTGCCAAAAACCAGGCGCTTCTTCCCTGCATCCTCTGGAGAAAACAAAGTATTTAATATCGTAAAACCGAGTAATTCGATCATCATTAATTCAATATCGTGAGAAAAAGTAAAACCGATAATGATATCGTTGAATTTAGTTTACCTCCATGGACGTAAAATTCCAGTCAAGGCTTGTAACCATATGATACCATATAAAGCTACCCCTAGTCTTTGATGATGATTGTTGAAGGCATTATTGAAGTTTTTTATTGAGATTACTGCCCCTGCTGTTGCAAGTAGTACAGAAAGTATCTGCCATCAACAAAATTAACTGTTCAATACATTTAAACAATTGTCCAATGCTATCATTTTGTAACTCTGTAGCGATGCCATCAAATTGAAGATGAACATGCCTGTGACACTACATGAACATAGAAAAGAATTTGAAGTCTTCTTCCACATTCTTCTCGTTTCGACATTCTGATAGCAAGTATCCCTACAGGCACTAGAAACCCCATTGATGCCCAAAGGAGGAATCCATGCAGTGTAATCTCAAACATCAGTTTACGACTCACCTATTTGGAAACCAGAACCAGGAAGAAAAACGTAGATGATATATCTGTAATGAAAAAACAATGCGATAAACTCCATTATGGACATGAATCCAATACCTTTTGAATGTTGTGATTATTGATTGTACCACTGCCGATGAATTTTACATGTTCTTCATCAGATGAGCTTACAGATGGTGGAATAAGCACGATTATAAGACCTATAAACATGGTGAAAGAAACTAGCTTCCCTGCAAGAACTTGCATTGTTCTTCAACTAGAGAAGGATGAAAGATAAACACAGCTGAGCTGAAACGCTCTTGAAAGCTAAAAATATTGCAGTTTCTGAGAGAAGTGTAAGGTGGTGTTAAAGCAGCATAAGAAGTGTTGTCAATGGTGTTATTATGAGACGACAGGCTCATGAGCTGCAGCAGTTGGACCAGGGACAGGCATACTCAAATGTGTGGATTCAATTCGTTTCTCAAGAGAATTATCAAGCTTTTCCTTTCTTTTCCTATATATACATAAACACCCACTTCAAAAGTAAAAATGTCTAAGATTACATATTCTTTTTGGAAAAATTTCAAAAGGCTGATGTTTATCAAGCATATACATACAGATGCCAGATGAGTGGGTTTTTTTATATATATAATTCACATGCAGTGCAAATTGTATATATTGTTGCATGGAAGTGGATGGTTTTGGGGAAAAGCTGTGAGCCAAAGGAGAAAGTGATGGGAATAGATTGCAACTTCAAGCATGTGGGGTTCATTTTCATTTCTTCTAGACTAGCTTTTTGGGCTGCTGCAGGCGGTGGAATTTAAGGGCAAAATGGCAGGTTACATTATCTTCTGCTTCCCACTAATTGGAATACTCCACATAGTACCAAAAACTCTTATCTGTTACACCAACTCCAAAGGGTATATACAAAGGGTTAATAATATGTTTAACGATTTGGTTTACTTCGAAAATTGGGTAAACATTAAACAACACGTTTAGTTACTAAACTTATATGTTTAGAAGATTAAACTATGTGCATGATGAAATGGTTGATTGTTTCCATGTATGCTTCTTACATATTACAAGAGCAATGAAATAACTAGTTGAGGAAGACAGCTTATGTTCTGGCAGGCTTTCTTGTTGTGGGATTGTGAAAAAAGCTGCATGTGGATTGTGGCCCCTGTAGGCTGAAATGTTCATCCCAACAAAATATTGCACTCAATTGTCAGCCCCTTATTATTCTTTGGATCCCATATATATACACGCGCGGAAAAATATATATACGGGATATGTTCTCTATATAATATGTAAACTAAATAGTTCTACACCAATTTATAACCTTAGATGTAAATTTCGATGTAAATAAATGAATGGGTGAGATTTAATTAAAATTTAAAACCCATAAACTAATATTTACCAAACTCACGGGAAATATTATTATGTTTTCTTTTCACCGTCTCTTTCCTCTTTTTTCTTTTCACCGTCAAAGCTATCTTTCCCATCTTTCACCCTTTTGTTTCAGACAAAAAATTTCTTATTCTCATCTTATTGATCGATTTTCTTATTTTTCTGGCAACCCATTGTCTCTGCCATTGGACAGGTATGTAATTGTTTTTTACCCTCCATTTTTATATTTAATATCTCGTTCGCATCTCTTTTTTCTGTTGGATTGATTGACATTAATTTCATTGTCTGTAAATATCTTCTATGAATATTAATTATTTTTTTGATTTCATTATCTGTAAATATTGGAAAAGACTCGGATTCATCCGTCAAAATCGTGATATATAGGGACACAACGCCACCGGTTTCCATTGATGCTGTGCGTATCACTCGCTCAACTGGCGACTCTTGATACTTCTCCAAATTCGATCAAGTAAATCTCCTGCTCATACCTTTGATCTTAATTTTAATTGAAGTAATGAAAAGAATCGATTAGTATTTATTCTTGACACGAAAATGATAAACACTGAACTCATTCTTTAACAATCAAATTGAATTGTTGAAAGGCCAACATATTTTAGCTGATGTAGAATAACTTTGCTTATAGCCTCTTTTAATCAAATTAAAGTTGAACTCGTTTATTTTCAGAATGTATTTTATAGGAAAATTTGCTGATTAAAAATGTATATCTTTCAATCTGATAATATATTTGTAAAGTTTTTTGTTCCTTTACAGTTGCGTTTATTATGATCATATCCTTTGCAAATTTGACATGAACGCCTTTTCACATTTGTACGTGTCAAAGCCATCTCAAGGCAACTTTTGAATCTTTCACTTTGAGACCCATAACTATCCTTTCTTCGACCTTTAGTTTGAGAAACATGTGGATCACCAATATTGATTATCGAAGCAATATCATTAGGCTGGTTCGCTATTACTCCATGAATATCTTCACTTGTCAATTGTTGGCTTGAAACGCTATCATTCTCCATAATACCAATACCTTGAGTTTCCATCATAGGAACCTTTTGATATATTTGATCCAAGTCTCTTACAATGACTTTACGTATCTCTTCAGATTTTTCAGCAAAGGAGGATAATCTGTTTACAAGACGACAAACATGTAAACATCTTAAAGCGGGTGATTTCCCAATATCAACTTCAAGGCTTGATCCATTTTCATAAATTCTAAAACCTTCATTTGTTTCTTTTGTCCAACATCTCAGGATATAGTGGTATGGTATCTCTCCAATATTTTTAAAACTAAAAACTGCTAACATATGGCTACACAAGATACCTTGAAACTGAAAAAAGACAGCATGAACAATTACCAACTTTAGAGAACAAATCAAGATGAATAACAAAGCTGTTATGAGTATCGAAACAATTTGACACCTTATATTCATAGAAAGATCTCGTCTTTCTTACCTTTTGTCTAGTGAATTGATTGCTTTTGACTAGTTCATCTTGAAAAATATTAAAAATGTTCTTTGTATAAACCGATGCTACATGATGCTCCAATTTAGAACCAAGTTTCAAAATTCGAGACTTGTGCATTGATTCAAAGTCTTCTGCTTTTTCTTTGGCGTAACGACTGTCAATTGCCTTCTCATATCTCACTACAAACTCTTGCAATGTTGTTCTAGAATCTACGAAAATATATATATATATATATATATATATATATATATATATATATATATAATTTCACTTCTTTGAGTAGTGTTCATTACTGTAAAGAAAGTATTTCGGTTAGAAAGTATTCCGGTTATTCACAGGAATCCAAAAATTACGAATTTCATACAACTCTTGAAGTCATTCATTTTGCTTTAATTAGTTCTTAATAATGAATTTTTTCCACTCATTATCAAACTCTTCCACAGTAGATGATTCAAATATATATCTTTTCACTTTACGTTTGAAAGTATATTTTTTATGATATACAAGAGGAAATTTCTTCTTTATATGTCAAAGACAGACAATGATGAGATTCTGGAAATACTTTCTTAATAACAGCACCTATAGTTAAATCTTGATCAGTAATTACTGATGCATGTGCTTTTCCATACATCGTATCAGGCCAAGTTTCAAGTAACCAAATGAAACTTTGCCGGGACTCATCTTGCAATAAAGCACAACCAAATAAAATTGATTGACAATGATGATTTAATCCAACAAAGGGAGCAAATGGCATGCTATACTTATTAGTCCTATAAGTGATGTCAAATGTAATAATCACCAAAATATTCATATGCTAACCGAGATCGAGCATCAACCCAAAACAAATTTATCGTATGGACATCACTGTCACACTGAATTGCATAAAAGTTAGGATTCTCAATTTGTTTTCTTCGGAAATGACATAAAACAGCTTGGGCATCTCCAACATCTAAATTTCTTTCTCCTTAAATTTCTAAGATGGTTCCAACAATCTCTATCTGTTAATTGTTGATCTACATTATTACACAATGCCGCCACTTTTCCCTAAGGAATTCCTTCTTCATTAAATTTTTTAACAAGGGTCTTAACTGCCAGAGTAATTTTCTTATGACATTTAAGATAAGACATACTCTTAGGACTAGTCATACATGATTATGTTCATTTGAAAATGACTTTACAATCCACTTTTGACTTTCTTTTACCATTGCTATCTTAAGAAATGCTCCACATCCCGTTCTCAAAGTTAAAAATCTATTTCTAGTTTTTTTTTGACATAGTTGTAAATGTCATTTGTCTCTATATTTGACTTACTATTGCATCACTTGGAGAGCCTGTTTTGCTTGATCAAATGCGAAATCCAAGGTCATGTTCCTTAGCAAAGGTTTTATAAAAGTTTTCAGCCTCAGCAATCGAGTCAAACTGCATTCTATCAAATAACTCACTTCCATATTTTGACCATCACCAATAAGTTGAATATCAACTAATGATGAAATTTCTGCAACTTACTGAAATCAAATACAGAAGTAAAAAATTAGTACATAACTTAATAATAAATTAAAAATTAAAATGATGAAAATTAACTAATATATTATTTTTAATAAAATAATAAAATATTATTAATTAATAATATTATTTTAATACAAAAAAACCTAACCCTAATATCCTCAAATAGTATTAGTAAATTTTATTTTTAGATAAAAAAATAAGGTAATATTTTAGTGAGCTTAACGAGTAACGAGTCGAGTTGAGCAACAATTTTTTTAACGAGCACGAGTTGAGCACAATTTTAACGAGTTTAACGAGCAATGAGTCGAGTAGCAAAATTTTTTAACAAGCACGAGTTGAGCACTGCCCAACTCACGATCGACTCGCTCGACAAGCACCCCTACTCACGATAAAACATTATTATGTTTTCTTATACCATGTAAAGATCTTTTAGTTTTACACCTTTTTAGGACCATTAGATTGTGGCAAATCAAAGGTTAAGATTAACTCATTATTTTTTCTAGTGAATTTCTTCTCATTTTCTACTATTAATCTTAACTTTTAGTTTCTCTCATCCAATGGTCCTAAAAATGTGTAAAACTAAAAGAGTTTTACACAATGTAATTGGATATGCCACTATATGTATATATGAGTTAAAAACCACTTACACCCAGTGTAAAATTAAGAGTTTTACACTCTTTTAAGACTATGGAGTAAGAGAAATCAAAAGTTAGATTAACTCATTGTTTTTTTTTCCAATGAATATCTTCTCATCTTCTACGGTTATTCTCAACCTTTGACTTATCTTGTCCTATAGTCATAAAAAGGTGTAAAACTAAGAGTTTCACACTGGACGTAAACAAATCATGTCCCTATATATATATATATATATATATATTGATCCTCTCTTATATTTTTTGTTCGTTCAATTTGTTAGAGTATGCCCAAAGATCAATCATATGATGATTGTAATAAAACATTTATTTATCGATTTTATTGAATAAAGACATTGCCATTATTATCTTTCAGTTATATGTATGTGTTTAACATAAACTGAAAGATAATAAAGTCCATACAATAACATTATTATTATTAAAAGATCCATAGTCAAATATTATTATGGGCATGAACAATAATAATACGCTTAAGACTAACATGTTAATGATTGATGACAACGAGTTGTCATTGGCATAGAGATGTCAGAATTGATACATGACTATATCGTTAGAGAACAATGTATTGGATTAACTCACCATGAGCATATGTATTGGATTATTATGTGACAGACATAACATTGCTCATGGTGATAACTATGTGTATGATCCTCAGACTTGAGATCAATATTATCACAACATATATTGTTGTATGTTTTGATACACTTAAACATGCTCCGTAACTGGTTGTACTATAAAGACTGTTATTGAATATATCTCGATATATGTAGTGGGGTATGTATGATTAAGATATGATTTGTCATTCCTACATAATAGGAAATATATCACAGGACACTTGATTGAGACTAGAAATGCATGGCCATGCTCGAATAAATTGATATGAGATATCACAACTTATTCATTAATTATAGTCTACTCTAGATATCAAGAAACAATAGATGTGTTATACAGTGTGACTATTCCAAGATTTGTGCCTATTCTAGATATAAAGGACAAAATGATGTAATACATAAAAGAGTTAATCACGAAGATGATATGTCGAATCATAATTTCTTGTAACTTAGGTGACAATGATATATTGCTAGATGACACTCATTGTATGCAATATTAGAATTACTACTAACGTTACAAGAACCTACAAGTTCACACCCTAAGATTGAAATGAGCAAAGATGTACAACTTATTGTGTGTTACTAAAATATTATCTAGAGTTAATATATGTATATTTGATATACATATGATTTTAATTATCCTGAATATAGTAAGTAAATATTATAAGAATGTAATTCTGATTACAACTCTTTTAATCGATATTTAATTCGGAATAATTAAATAAGAGTTTAAATAAATGTTAAAGATTGTAATTCGGATTATAAGTCTTTAATGAATATTTAATTTGAATTAATTAAATAAGATTTTTTTATTAATTAATAACTTAAAATACCTAATATGTTAAGGTAACTGATATATTTAAAGTGAGGTAAGATCTAGCAGCCGTTTTATTCTTCAACCATTTTTTTCAAAACTGTTTTTGAGAAAAGTAAATTTTGCTCTCAATCGGGTGAACTGAGTAGAGGCCGAGACATGTTTTCGTAGAGGCTTACGATTCAAACCGTTCGTGATCACCATTAGTCGTTGTTGTCTTTGCTATTTTTCAAGGAACCCATTATAAGTATTTGCATCATTTCCTCCCGATTTCGGTTTTGCGTACTTGGATCGCTAGTGAGACGGTCGAGTTTTTGTTTCTACTGCGCCATGAGGTGCGTCGACGACCCCAACACAATTTTGATCCTATTTTATAAGTCAAACTTTTATCTAATTTTTTAGTCGAATTTATGAAATTCAAGATAATTTGAGTTGTTCAATTTTATATTTAAATTTAATTATAAATATTTAAAATATTATCATACTATTTGATTCTAATTTAAATGTTTTTAGTTAGATATATATATATATATATATTATTGCTTCATATTTTTTTCAGGTGATATACATATATCATGCACTAATTACTAAAAACTTTAAATATTCTAATTATATTTTATAACTTAACTTGAATTTATTTTTTTTAAATTAAATCGATTCGAATTTTATTTGTCCCTAATTATAATAAGTGGGATTTTGCATTCCTTTTGCCCAAAAGGAATTTAAAACTTAAGTATGTTGATCTTAGGGTGAGGCTTTTGTGCCCGAAAAGCAAATTAGAGGAGAAAGAGAAAGATATCTTACAAAGCTAAAATCATGTCTTTGATCACTGTGAATCTTACGTCCTTGATTCAGCTGTTTAAGCTTTTACAGTAATAACTTTTCAGATAGTTTCATTTTGACCCAATTTCATTTGGACTAATGTTAAAGTCCTCCATCCTGTAGCCATTGACGATGAAAAGAAATTTATTAGTATTAAATAAAAGACAATGTACAGGTTGAGAGGGAATTATGTTAGAACCTTCTCAAACTATTGGAAGCTCTCCAAAATTTACGGTGAATAAAATATCATATATGATTTGATTTTATAATATAAACATAAATAAAATTAAATATTATACGAAACATAAAATAAATCAACATTAAACGTTGGGCGTAATAGGGAATGCATAAAGCCATTGCATTGGTCCGTATTAATTAGAAATGTGGAACTAGAGCCGGGTATATGGGCTAAGGCCCGCGGGCTACCCGTATAACCCGCGGTCCGTTCGGATTTCGGGCCTCAAAAAATAAAGCTCGTTTAAATTACGGGGTTTATTAGCCCTGACCGTTATACCCGTGGGTTTAATGGGTATACCCGCGGACTCCACGGGTAGCCCGCTTAATTTAATTATTTTTTTTAATTTATTTTATGTTTTACGAAAGACAATTCACGTTTAACATAATTTACGTTTTTTTGTGCATTTTATGTCCATTAGAGGTCTTGTGATCAATGTTGCTCAGGTCACCAACAATGCTTTATCTTTGGTTAACTAGTTTGCATCCAAGCAGTAAAGATGGAAAAGAGAAAAAGTTGGTTAACTACACAATATTTACACAACAAAAAAATATATCACTATCTAAGAGTTTAGACAAAATGACATTTACATCGAATGCTCCAAAAGTGACTTGCAATACCTTAAATACAATTTCGACTAATCTATGATTATTAAAAACTTGTAAATACGTTAAACTCGAAAAGTAAACTTATATAGCTTATTGTGATATTTATAAAAAATATAATATTTACACATGTTATGCATAAACTTGATATTTTCAGTGACAAATACTTATCAACATTTATAGCTTAATTGAAGGTAAGTATTACAATTATTAATGTTTAGTAAAATTATTTCTTTATAAATTTATTTTTGATTTCAAAATTTAAACTATCTAATATATTATGATTTTTTTATATTGCAGATGAAGCGGACAAGTTTCTGGTGATTGAAAAAAATGGAAGATTCAACTACATCCAAGTATTCAAAAAACATTGAATATTATTGAT